ACCCGCAATGTAAAATGACATTCCCTGCCCCCTCCAAGCAATTTTGTTTTTTATCTTAACTTTATTTAATAGGCAAGAATCATCTCAAAAAGCTTTCTCTTCATCAGGTGTTTGCAAAACTTTTGGTCTTTGAGCTTGAACATGGAGCTTTATTTCATCAACAATATGATTTTCCTGGGTTGTGCATTCTGAAGTTCTTCTGAAGAAAACTGAATCCAGCCCGTACCTCTGTGAAAGCCAGTCTCTTTGTCAAAGGGCACAGTGCACTTTCATGTATGGCCAAACTGTGCAAAGTGTTCTCTCAGCTCACTTGCAAAAGGCAGAGGTTTTCAGAATCACTTGGACCAAAAGATTCCACCTCTCCCACGTCTCCATCGCTCACTCAGGCAGTTTTTTTTTTTATTTTTTTGAATTGTCGTCTCACTCTGTCACCCAGGCTGGAATGCTGTGGCACACTCACAACTCACCCCAGTGTCAACCTGCTGGACTCCAGCAATCCTTTCGCCTCAGCCTTCCAAGGAGCTGGAACTACAGGTGTGCGCTACCATGCCCAGCTAATTTTTATTTATTTATTGTAGACATGAGGCCCTGCCAAGTTGCCTGGGCTAGTCTTGAACCCACAGGCTCAGGCATCCACTTGCCTCGGCCTACCAAAGTGCTGGGATGACAGGGTGAACCACCGAGCCTGGCCACTCAGGCAGTTCTTAATGCCCCTTCCCTGCTTGGTGCTTCACCACAGCACCGGCACTGACTACAGTCTAGGCACAGTGTATTTATTTATTTTGTTGGTTATCATCTGTTTCTTGCCGCTGGACTGTGAGCCCTATGAGGAGTATTCCTGTCTGCCTGGTTCACTGTGTGTTCTCAGCACGTGGCATGTAGACACATCATAAATGTGAATGAATGAATGAATTCTTAGTACTTCCTGCTTCTCTTTCTCTAACAGTCATCATGATTATTGTAACCGAAAGCAAGTTTGGCCACTTGCTACCCAAAGTCAAACTCGAAGACAGTAGATGGCAGAAGGCAAGTGGCTTTATTCCAAAAACTGGCAGCTTGGGAAACAGCTTGGCTCACGCCTCCGACAGACCACGTCAACTTTTGGGCTGCATGCAGGGATTTCAAAAGAGAACTATGTACAGGGAGCACATAGGAGTGACAATGGGTGCTGGTCTGTGGGCTTGTTTGTGTGACTGTCTTGAGTTATTGCCCCATCTGGCATCTGGGCTGACATCATCTCAGAGTTGTAGATCGACTGCAGACTTGAGCCCATCTCCAGATGGGGGAGGATTCCACTACTGGTTGGTTTGCATCAAGATTAGCCCATGAGACTTTTTTTTTAGTTGAAGTCTCACTCTGTTGCCCAGGCTGAAGTGCAGTGGCATAGTCATGGCCTCTGCAGCCTCGATGTGCTGGGCTCAGGTGATCCTTCTGCCTCAGCCTCCCAAGTGGCTGGAATTACAGGCATGTGCCACCATGCCTGGCTAATTTTTTTATTTATTGTAGAGACGCAGTCTCACCAGTTTGCCCAGTCTAGTCTCAAACCCCAGGTTCAGGAAATTCTCTCACTTCCGCTTCCCAAAGTGCTGGGATTACAGGCATGAGCCTGGCACCCCCTGGAACTTCTAAGCAAGCTCATACCTAACTAAGTGAACATAACGCAAGGGAGCATCTGATGGGAGGGAGGAAGGAAACCTCTGAAGCATGTCTTAAGGAGAAAGAGAAGGAAAAAAGCTTTTAAAATGAATTTTGAAGTGAGGCACTTGGTAACGTTATGATTAAATTGTTCCTTTTATAGTACCTAGTGTGCCTCTACCTCTAGAATGCAACTCAAGGAAGGCCGAGGTTTTGTCTTGCTCACCACTTGTATCCCCAGCACTTAGTAGGTGCTCGATGCATCCATTTGTGGCATGATTGAAGCTCTCTGAGATGCTAATCTGACCACCGTCACTCCTGCTTCTACTCTTAAAGCCTGTTGCCTTCACTTTCAAACCTGTGTGCTCCGAGCATGTCATAATCACCCTCTTCTTGTCCCACTTCCTGACTCTCTTGTCCTCTTCCACATCCTCCAAGATCAGCCTTCCCGAACATGTCATGCTCTCTCCCTGCCAGGCCTCTGCGCTTGCTGACCTCTTCTTGGAAAGTTCCGCCTGACTAACTCCTACTTGTCCTCGAGGGCTCTGCTGAGGTCACGGTTTCTGGGAAACTTTCCAGACCCCTAAGGCGGGCTTGTGTCAGTGGGGCTGGGTGCATAGCCCATCTCCTGCTTAGTCCTGCTTAGGCATCTGCTGACACCTGATTGTTGTGTGTTGGGCAGAGAGGTTGAAGATTAGCTCAGAGAGAATGTGGATGTTGTAGAATGGGGTGTAACGAGAATGGCAGTGGGTGGAATGGAGATTGGGGTAACTCACAGCCAGTGTGGGCTTCGGGCTGTCAAGATGTCATCCTCTGTGCCTTGCAGTCTCCAGACCTTCCAGGCAGGAGCCAGAAACCCTTGGTTGGTCCCGCTGACTTGCATTTCTCCTCCTTCCTCTCTCTCAGGGGGGGATGTTACCATCACTGACCTGCCTCTGGCCCTAGAGCAGATCCAGGGCAACGTCCAGGCCAATGTGCCAGCTGGAGGCCAGGCCCAGGTCCGTGCCTTGTCCTGGGGGATTGACCTGCATGTCTTCCCTGGAGACTATGACCTGGTACTGGGGGCTGATATCGTGTACCTGGAACCCACCTTCCCACTGCTGCTGGGGACCCTCCAACACCTGTGCGGGCCCCGCGGCACCATCTATCTGGCCTCCAAGATGAGAGAGGAGCACGGGACAGAGAGCTTCTTCCAGCACCTCCTGCCCCAGCATTTCCAACTGGAGCTGGCCCAGCGGGACGAGGATGAGAATGTCAACATCTATAGGGCCAGACACAGGGGGCCGAGACCAGCTTGACATCGCCCCTGCTGTTCTTCTCTACCCCTTGCCCTAATGAAGTAGCTGCAGACCTCCAGAGCCATAAGCACAAGGACCAAAAAGAATGGATTTCCCTGGCCTCTTTCTCCTCCTTCCCTCTTGTTTTCCCAAATACTTGTGGACAGGTGCAGGGAGGTGCTGGCTGACAAGGAATCCCAGAGCCCTGGCAGCACTAGTGTTAGAACCCCAAGGAGGTTCCTAGCTCCTGTTCTCAGCAGAGGAGGATGGAGTGGCATCTAGGATTCCTAGGGATGAGAGAGGTCGATGGGATGGAGAGCAGTGGCTGGACTGTAGACAGACTGCCACTGATCGTTTCCAGTCCTGTTACTGTCTGTTTATACACGATGGACTTTATTTCACCACCAAATTCTATGGGATTTTTTTTGAAGGGGAAAGAAGCATTACAAATCTCTTCTGCATCCAAAGAACTCAGCTTTTGCTGGGGGCCAAAAAGGAAGAAGCCTCAGACTACCTGTTTCTTGCTTTTAGAGATAGAGTCTGGTAGGACCATGGCTCTAACCAGGGTAAATCTTCCCTGCCCTGAAGCTGGGACAGGCAGCAAGGCTGTCTCATGGACTGTGGTGCTTCATCCCTTTCAGACTTGGAATCCTGATCACAGAACATCATGCTGTGGAGAAGAACACAAGATGGAGTGCTAGCTCTTTTCATCTCTGATTGAAAAAAAAAAATGATTTCCAAGCTTCATCAGTCCTTCCTTCCTAATGTGTTTTGCCTTCACCTCTTTTCTCTTCCCACGGTGGCATCCTGGTGGGGGTCTCTTTACTCACTGCTTGGACACCTAGTCACCTTTTCTGGACTCTCCGCCATCATTCTTTCCCCCTTCAAGCCATTCTGCAAACTCTTGTGATCTTCCCACGTCAGCTCTGGTGAGCTTTCCTTGCCTACAGAAGCAAGAACGAACTCATGGCCTTGGTACTTAGTTTTTCTCCATGTGATCCCATGTTGCCTCTCTACTTCATTTTCTTCTCCTTTCTGGCCTGTATTGGGCCTCTGGCCAGATGACAGCAGGTCTACTCTTTGTCCTCTGCATCCACACCTGAGTTGCCTGACTTCTTCCTTCTTAGGATGTTTCCCCGCCTGGAAGGGCTGTTGCTGCCTGTCAAAATCTTCATCATTCTTTGCGTCTTTTCTGATATAAGCTTTTCCTGAGCCTCTTTCTTGGACGTGGTTTTCTTTCTCCCCTGAGACCCTCTAACTGTCTGCTTCACAGAACCTTACTTTGTTTCTTGCACACGTTTGTCTGATCCTTATTTTCTCACCATTAGATTGCTTTGAAGTGTGGGGCTGTGGCTTACTCATCTCAAATCCCGGTAGCCTAGCAGAGTTCCTGGCATGCGGTACGTGTGCAACAAATATTTTGCTCATTCAACGAACGTTTACTCGGTTTTGTTTTTTTTTTGAGTGGGAGTCTCACTCTGTCACCCAGACTGGAGTACAGTGGCCCCTCCCAGCCACCGCAGCCTCGACCTGCTGGGCTCCGGCAATCCTTCTGCCTCAGCCTTCCAAGTAGCCGGAACTACAGGTGCACGCTACCATGCCCGGCTAATTTTTGATTTATTGTAGAGATGCGGTCTTGCCAAGTTGCCCAGGTGGGTCTCGAACCATGGGCTCAGGCAATCCATTCACCTCAGCCTCCCAAAGTGCTGGGATTACAGGCTGAGCCACCGAACCCGGCTTACTCGGTTTTTTGAAGGGACTTTACCCTAACCTTCTTCCTAGGTGACCTTCCACACATTCCTGAGCCCACCCACCTACCTCACGTTTGTCTTGAGTCATAAATGGATAATATGAACGTGCATTAAAAAAAAACATAAAGTGTAACCCGCATGTCTTGTATTGTCGTTTTGTGACAACTTTATTTCTGGGTTCCGTTCTTTTACCGGTAGGGGGGTTCATTCCCTTGTGACCTGTACAGTCTCGATAAACCCGGCAGGGCAGGCGACTGTGCCCCCTCCGGCCAGCAGGCGGCGCCGTCCCCGATCGGCGCCTCCCGGTGGAGAGTTCTGGCCCCTCCGCGCCGCCGTAGTTCCGTGGACCCAGCGGGCC